CAACTAAAGAGGGGCCGTCGTTGCTCCTCACTGCCTCCATCCCAGCCTCCTCGCAAGATGCAAATATCTAGAGAATGTTTCTCTTCAGCGTCTGGGGTCATGTGCGCCCTGTGGGGAATCGCTTTAGACAGAAGCCGCTGCCAACCGCCAAAAGATGGTGCCAGACACTTTATCAACAGCTGTCGCCAGTTTTATCGGGGTGCATAATGACAGCAAGCAGGAAAAAGGAAAGAAGAAGAGGAGAAAGGAATGGCCTAATCTGTTAATTGGAGCCCTGGTGGTGGAGAGGGCCGGGTCTCTGGTTGCAGAGATAGCCTCTTTTGTGAAAAGACTTCTTGCGCCTGGGAACAAGAGTCTCTCCAGGCGCCAATCCAGCCAGGCTGCTTTCAGAGTCATGGGTCTGTTTCTCCCAGGACTGCCCAGACCCTGCCCACACTCCAGGCATGTCCAGCTTGGCGACAGGTGGTCTGCAGCCCGACACAGACCCCAAAGGGCAGCGCGTTCCTCACCCACCAGGCTGCCTTGCCACCCACCACAATGCCACTTGCCATCTGACCACTCTGATGCCACCCAGCTTTGAAACGTCGCCTGAGACTGGAGGTGCCTCCCAGGAAAGGTCAAGCTCGCTTGGAAATGTTTGGGAACAATCGGCCACATGTTGTTCTTGCGGAATCAGTTGGTGGGAAGTTGGCCAAAGTTGGTTCTCTAAGGGCAAAACAAGAACCAGAAGCTAGACGTTCCACAGAGAGAGATGCAAACTTGAATTAAAGAGGAATTTCCTCATTGTCAGAAGCAATGGAACAGCCTTTCTCTGGAAGCTGTAGGTGCTCCATGGCTGCAGGGTTTCAAGCTAGGTTGGACAGCCAATTCTCCAGGATGGTCTGGGCAGGGAAGTGGAGTAGACCACCCCCAAGTCCCTTCCAAATCTGGGACTCTTTGATTCAATCAGAAAACCCCAATTACCAAAAAAATTTCAGATGGAAAAGGTTGTTCCCCAATGACCTTTCAATCCTTTAGATGTATTCAGAGGTGGTCATTGGATGTGGTCAAAAAGTTAAGATGGTGGTCACAACTGGAATAGCATGGCATGGCATGGCATGGCATAGCATAGAATATCATAGAATAGCAGAGTTGGAAGGGACCTTGGAGGCCTTCTAATCCAACCCCCTGCTCAAGTGGGAGATCCTATATTGTTTCAGATTTTCTGAACTTCATCATGTGTCATGGCCACTTTCATGACTTTAAAAATCATACTTGATAGACACGCCTGGCTCCCTCTTGCATCACAGCTTTCCTTTGATCCCCAAACAAATCCTGTGGCCATTAGCTGTAGCTATTCTATTTTCCTAGGGCTCCCTGGCTCTTGTGCAAGAGATGGAGCCAGATGTTGGATCTTACTTTGCAGTGAAACTACTTGCTGCTACATAGATAATTTTGAATTATTCAGCGTTGCCAAGCAAAAGGCCTTGCTAGTCCCAAGGAAGGGAGAGGGCCTGTGGAGACTTGGGTGCCTGGGGGACCCACCTTACTTCCCCAGGCAGCCCCAGGTTGGAGTCCTGAATCCTGAGCTGGGAAAGGGTTTCCCTGAATCTGTTCACAGATGGAGGCTGGCTGCAGGTCTGCTTTCTGTGGCAGCCTCCAACTTGGCAAAGCACCCTAGATTTCCTTTTGGGACACTCGCAGTCTTGACTTTGGCTTTCTCTCTTCCTATTCCCCAGTCCAACTGACCTACCACCCACCCTTCTCCATCCAACTGTCCTTCCTTTCTTCCTTCCTGGTTTTGGCTCAGAAATGATTTCCTGCCCCCTGACCTCTGACCGGAATGTCCCAGCATGGACTGGTCTATCTTAATGCCAGTTTTTGCTCCTCACTGGTGTTCTGTTCCAGCACTCGGCTTCCCAAACTGCTGTTGGGGAGCCCCCCTCTGGCTACGCTCCTGGATCCGCTTTCGGGCAGGACCAGCTGCCTCTGCCCTGTGGTCTGCCTTTCGCCCAGCCTGTGCGAGGAAGGAGAAGAGGGCAAATGCGCATAGGTGCATTTTTCTGGGTGCGAGTTTTTTCAAGTCCTGATTTGGGCAGGAAAAAGCAGGCTGATTGTTGACTAGCTGAGTCCTGATGTGGCGCAGCGGTTAGAACGCAGCAGTGCAGGCCGGCTCTGCCCACGGCCAGCAGTTCGATCCTGACCTGATTGTTGCAGGGGGGGGGGAATAGGCTGACTCTGTAAACCACTCGGAGCACTATGAAGTGGTATATAAGTCTAAATGCTCAGTGCTCTCAAAAAGGGTTTTTTAAAATCCTATGTTGCCAACAGAGAACATAGGTAGCCCTCGACTTACAGCCGTGCATTTGGCAATTGTCCAAAATAGCAATGGCACTGAAAAAGGCGATTTATGACTGGTCCTCATACTTACGACTATCACAGCATCCCCAAGGTCACATGATCAAAATTGGAGTGCAACCGGCACGTATTTACAATGGTTGCAGTGTCCTTTGGTCATGCGATCATCATTTGAAACCTTCCCAGCTGACTTCTGACAAGCAAAGTCAATGGGGAAATTCAGATTCACTTAACAGTTGTGTGATTCATTTAACAACCATGGCAAAAAGGTTGTAAAATTGGGCATGATTCACTTAGCAACCACCTTGCTTAGCAACAGAAATTCTGATCCCAATTGTGATCATTAGTCGGGGACTATGTGTATAGCTCACCTTTTCTCCTCCTATCACAAAGGGATGTTTTGAGTAAACTCAAAAGAAGCCAAAAGTCAGATTTGATTCCTGGTGACTGTAGGTGGTTTACATGACTAGCTACGATAGAGAAGGATGGGTTTTTTAAAAAACTTCCCAGTCTAGATTCCATCCCTTAGTGGTCTCCCATTCAAGGGCTAACCAATTCAGCAATGCTTCCATCGCTTGAGACCAGCCCAGATTAGCTCCTCTCTGCCACTTAGCCAGGTTTAAATTAATTAAAACTTGGGGAACACAGACTTCATTGCAAAGTCTTGTCCTTTTACTTCTTCCAAAGTCATTTATTTATTTATTTATTTATTCATTCTACTTGCATACTGCCAAATCAACACAGGCCCAAAATAATCTGCAAAAATGACTATAGCCATTAAAATCAGCCATTAAAAATGTCTAAAGTAAAACAAATGTAGAAATTATAACACAAAGTTTGCATGTGATGGAAGCCAGGAGGAAGGGAAATGTTTCTGCCTCCTGTTAAATAATGTATTTAATTTCATAAAACCAATTAAATAATAGCAGGCATGCTCTCTTCGTTGAAATCCTTTTCATTACGACGATGGATTTGTTTCATCTTGGTTTACTGAGCAAAATGTATGGGCAAAATCAAATCCTGGGTAGGAAAGGCACAGCACCTGTCCCTGGCAGCCCTCTGGCATTCCAAGTCTCACCACCCAAAACGGCCGGATCTTTGGTTGGCAACTCATGCCCTTGTCACCATGCATCTAGGCTACTGCAATATATTTTTTCCTGGGTCTGCCTTTGAAGAACATATTAGACGTCTTCATGCATGCCAGCGACGAAAGCTGGCATTATTCATGTAACACTGGTGCTGTGGACTTTGCACTGGCTGTCCTTGTATTTCAGGATGCAATTACAAGTGTGGGTTTTAACTTGTAGAAACTGAAGTATCTTCAGAATTCCCTCCTTCGAGCAGAATGCTCTGCCTTCTGCTCCCCAACCACAGACCCCACTATCACTCATGTTGACCATTTTCTGAATGCTGAATATGGAAAGTTCTGGAAAACCTTCAGAGAAAGAAAGAAGCTGGTACTCTTGGCTTGCATTCTTATTCTGTTTTCCATATTCAGAAGTGTCCATGGGACATGGTCAAAAAAAGTAAAAAAGGGGACCACAATGGTAAAATGGAAACCCTGCAGACACTCCTGCTTACTCTGTTACATTTAGCTGTGTGTAATTTAACTCTGTTTAACAGAATACTGTAAAAGGCAGGCAGGAAAAGGGAGAGAGGGGGGGAGGGAGGGGAGGGACAAAGGTAAATGAAAGAAAGGAAAGGTAAATGAAGGTAGGGGAAGGGAAGACAGAAAAAGAAGAAGGAAGGAGGGAAGAAAGAGAGAGAGAGAGAGAGAGAAAGAAAGAAAGAAAAAGAAAAGATAGAAAGAAAACAAAGATAGACAGAAAGAAAGAAAAAAAGAAAGAAAAAGAAAGAAAGAAAGAAAGAAAGAAAGAAAGAAAGAAAGAAAGAAAGAAAGAAAGAAAGAAAGAAACTATAATGGGGTGAATGCATTTCTTGAGGGTATGTTTTGGCTTCCAATATGGAACCCATTAGTGGCGAAATCAGCTTCTTCCATATGCACCAGGGTTCCAATTGTGCTTTTCACTGGCGTTTCACACACAGAAGAAAGCTTTGTTGGATTTCGCTCCCCTGTGCTAGTATCTCTTACCCACAGGAAATTAAATAAAGTCGCCTTTTCAAATGGCTGTCAAAACAAGCAAGACTGCCGCTGCACTTTCCATGGTTTCACTTCTTAAATCCTTATTTTTGATTTCTGGGCTAACTTTGATCTAATTTAATCCAGAGTCAGAGCTCTCCAGGCAGATGGACCTAATGTGGAGTGTAAACCTGAATGATGAACTTGAGTTGATGGATCTTGTGGGTGGTTTTATTCCATAGTATCTCTGCTTTTATGTAAGGTCAGGGAAACACTTATAGAACAGAAAAGTTGCCCGTGAAATGGGAGATGCATAGAACATACAATAGCAAAAGACCAGCATCAGACTTCCAGGGGCTAAATTCTGTAAGTTCACAAAAAGTTTGATAAAGAGGGCACTTCTCTGGGGAATCCTCAGCTTTCTACCAAACTGCCCGAATTTAAGATTTGCCACAATAAAAGACAACCTCATAGAACACACTGACTCTTCTGATGGGTTCCTGTGACACTCGAAGCCCAAAGACAGAAACAAAGAAAGAAAACACAATATGACCATCTGCTGAAACAAGGACTGGATTCCTACCACATCCTGAATCGCAAACCATCCAATCTCCAAGTAACGTGTGACTGATCCAGTGGAGACTCCTGGGCATCTCCAGGCATCCCTTCAGGTTTTAAGATGAAGGCTTGGTTTGGAAAGGAAGAGGCTGGATTTCGCAGGAACAGGCTGCAAAGATGGTCCTTCATTTGTTTCCCAAATCAAGTAAACATCAACTCATTGTTTAGGGAAGATGTGACTTTTCAGAGCAAAAGTAACATTTTGCTAGGGGGAAAGATAATTGTTCCTCAACACTTTGTATAAAAGCTGCATTTGAGAGGGATTAGAGAAAAAAAAGAAAAGGAGGATGGAGACAAACGGGTTCCCCCCCTTCCACCATTTGATAAATCCTGAAAGACTCAGAAAGACTCAAACATTCTGATCTAGGACTTCATTGTTTGCCACACCAAAGCGGAGTTTTACAAGAGTATCAAATAACCCACAAATGCCACAAAGGACAGGATGTGCGTGTTTGCTAAAGAACAACCCGAAAGGTTTCAGATGTCACATATTAACCAACTACAGCGGCTCAGCTCTTTGCAGTGAGCAAGCACAGAGGATTCCCAGCCCACCTCTTTGAAATGCAATTTTGAACAGTGCATGTTACATACTAATCAGTCAACTGTAAAACTTTTTTCTTGCTTGCTACAGTCCAATGGCTGTATTTTGGCTGTAATAAACTTACCCCTCCATAACCACTCCCTCACCATCTTCACTTTTTAATGTCATATTTTATAAATGCATCTTATCTAATGGAAGAGATTTTTTTTTAAAAAAAGAAACCAGTTCTGAATAACAGAATTGGAAGGGACTTTAAGTCTTAAAGTCTGGAAACCCCTGATCTGGAGTAATCATTGGAAAGAAGAACCCAAAGACACTGTCTACTCTTCTGGGTCTCCTTGTGACCTTCAAAATGCTTTTTGGGAAGCTATTTGTGATTCAGGAAGCAGTATTCAAGATTAAGTCCACTTTTCCCCCATGACTTGTCCAGCTCCTCGTCATCTAGACTGGTGACCATCATTAGCCCAATGGCAATGTTTCCCATTTCCAAGTCCATCGTTTTGAAAGAAAGGGCACATTCAGAGCGCACTCGCTGAAATGGAAGCCAAGGAAATGCATTCACACATAGGATCTCACAATGACTGTAATTAGTCCCATAATGCCAGTTTAGCAGAATACAGTGGTACTCATCATTAACTGGTTCTTGAGTACTAAAAATGACGAGTACCAAACAAACCATGTGACTAACACGAGACCCTTTGTTTCGGTTAGAAAGAGTAGTGAGGGAGCCAACACTGACAAATTCTAGCTTATACTATAATTGATATGACATGACAGCAGTGTTCCAATATCTCAGGGGCTGCCACAAAAAAGAGGAGTCAAGCTATTCTCCAAACCACCCAAAGGCAGGACAAGAAGCAGCAGATGGAAACTCATCAAAGAGAGAAGCAACCTGGAACTAAGGAGAAATTTCCTGGCAGAACAATTAACCAGTGGAAAAGCTTGCCTCCAGAAGTTGTGAATGCTTCAACACTGGAAATTTTAAAGAAGAGACTGCACAACCATTTGTCTGAAATGGTATAGGGTTTCCTGCCTAAACAGAGTTGGACTAGAAGATCTCCAAGGTCCCTTCCAGCTCTGTTGTTCTATTCTGTTCTGTTCTGTTATTCTATTCTATTCTATTCTGTTCTATTCTATTCTATTCTATGCATTGAGTACCAAACAAATGATGAATGCCAGGACAACATTTTCATCTCGAGCACCAAATTCAGTGACTTTCAAAGCAGTAGAGTACTGATATACCCACTGTATTTACAGTACCTCTCCTGTAAGTTGCTAAGGCTTTGCCCATTTTTACTCTGAATTTTTCCTTTTAATTATGAAGTTTAAAAGAATTGAATCAGGTGGGAAACTGGCAGGCACCAAGACAGCCATCTGTGGACTTTCTGGGCCTCCTGAGCATTAGGGACTTCTACCAACTTAAACCAACCTTGCTCAACCTAGTGCTCTCAAAATGTGTTGGATTACCCTTCCCATATAATGGAGGGATCTTAGAGGCCATCTAATGAGCCTCCCTCACCTGTGGCTTTCCAGTTGTAGTGGGACCACAATTTCCAGAATCTCCATGTTAATTGGGAATGGGGGCTCAACACATTTGAATCCTACACTCTGCTTTCAAACTATTATTAAAGAAACAATTGCTGGAGTTGTTGTTTTGACTGTTAAACAACTTCCACAATTAGGAAGCTTCTCCTGATGTTTTCCAACATCTGCTTCCTCACAAATACCATCCTGAACTTCAAGTCTGCTCCATCTTCCATCTGGGCATTTGATGACTACTATCTTCTTCATTCTCATCCTCAATTAAAGTATTCTTTGTGGCTTTGTCCCCGAGCTCCTAACATGCTCTAAAAAAAGATGGCACATAAAACCAAGATGGAACTTCCAAGGTATAAAACATTTCACAAAACATTTAACTCCCACAATCTGAGCCACACAAGGTTTTGTCTTATGCCATTTTAAGCACGCTGGTTGCACTGTGGATGTCTAGATTTTTTCACCCTGTATCATTGCCTCCGTGGACATCGCAAGTTCCCAGAAGGCAGATTCTGATGCCAGTTGGGAAAGAGGGAGGAAAAATCCTAACAAGAACCATAGTTGCCAGAACAATTAGTCAAAGAGATGGGACGACTTCTTGCTGATGGACATGTTTAAACAGAGGTTGGATGTGCATTTTTTTTGGTTTAAATCTGACATATGATTCTAAGCTTGAATAGGGCATTTTGCTCAGAATATCTGTGTACTCCATTTTGAGAAATGCAAGGCCTTCTAAAGCAGGGGTCTCCATACTTGAGGACTTTAACTCCCAGAATTCCTCAGCCAGTCAGGACTAATGATAGTTTTAAAGCAGAATTCTGAGAGTTGAAGTCTACAAGTCTTAAAAATTGCCAATTTTGGAGACCCGTGTTCTAAAGGAAACACAGATAGAGGAGATTCCCCCTTACTTCATTCCAAGCCAACCCCAGAACTATATTTTCTTGAAGTTGTAAATAGTTCCTCTTCCAATTTTCTTTCTTTATTCAAAAAGTAATAAAAAATAGACAATGGGGACATTTATAAATGCAAATAGTTTATTATCAATGAGCAACTGGTACTAGCTTTTGGCCTGGATATTACTATTAAAAAAACTATACAGCCAAAATCCTGGCAATACTCCAATATTTGCTGTATATTTTTTCCATCCTTTTTTTAAAAAAAAAACTGTAGTACTGAAAGACTTTTAGCCAAAGTGCATTTTCCATTTTTTTGTCCATATACACATTGCACCGTACATAAATAATGACACTGTAAAAATGACTCCATAGTTACAAGTATTATATATATTTTCATATATATATATATATATATATATATATATATATATATATATATATACACACACACACACACACATACGTATACATATGTATGTGTATACACACACACACACACACACACACACACACATATATATATATATATATATCTTTATATTAAATCTAGGTAGATGATATTTGGGGTCCTCGGGCTTTGTTCCTCAGCATCCAACAGCTATCTGTTGTTTGTGTTGAGCAAAATTTCTAGCCAGCAGGGACAGGAGGTGATAAACTGCCTGGAGTAGCAGGGCCCCCAGCCTTTCGCAAAGCTGATCCGGACACTATTCGGGTCATAGGGCCCATCTGGATACTCTAAGTCAGTGACATGCTTCAAGAGACAGGACTTCTCATAGTCAAAGGCCTTGATTGAATATCCAGGCATCACTTTGTGCACGATTAAGGTTCGACAGTTGGGGATGTCCAGGGTTGGGGAATTGACAAAGATTGGGTGTTCACTTCGGTTGTAAGCCCACACGCCATCTGCTTCTTTGCTGAGCAAAATCCCATATCCAATTTTGTTCCGAGTCTTCTGGACTGTTTCGTTTCTGTTCTGCAGGCTGAGCTGTCCGAGACAGAAGCCATTTCCTTGAGGTAGGTCATAAAAGATACTGACAGACTGTTCGTACACTGTGTAGAGGCGGCCCACGCGGGTCCGATGCTCCCAGTAGGCGACGCTGCACCAGTGACTGTGCTTCATGGCATCAGGCGACATGCTGGCCTCTGGAAAGAGAAGAAGGACAGGTCTGGTCAGCCCAAAGGAAAAGAAGCTTTGAACCAACATGGTTGCTCAAGGCCTAGCTGTCAGAACGGCCCCCTCACTGCCAGTCTGCCATGAACCCTGGGGAAAGTTGGAGGGGAGGGAAAATGAAGGAAGACTTCAAGGTCGTTTCCCTGGGAGAAAAATACCAACAGGTAGAGCACCTGTTTCCAAAACATCTCTTGGGCAATGAGAGACAGAAAATGGGAAGGGACAAAGAGATTAAAGTTAACTGGCAAAAATCTGGTACCAACTCTCAGTTCTGCTCTTACACTACTATAATCCAGTTGACTTCTAGTAAACTATACCTTTCTCAACAAACGAAGTTAAGGATCATTTTTACCTAGAAGCCCAAGCTGAGGCAGATCTGACATTAGCCAAGTAATAATAATAATAATAATAATAATAATAATAATAATAATAATAGTAGTAGTAGTAAAGTTGGAAGGGACCTTGGAGGTCATCTAGTCCAACCCCCTGCTCAGGCAGGAAACCCTACACCATTTCGGACAAATGGCTGTCTCTTCTTAAAAACTTCCAGTGTTGGAGCATTTACTGCTTCTGGAGGCAAGCTGTTCCACTGATTAATTGTTCTCACTGTCAGGAAGTTTCTCCTTAGTTCTAGGTTGCTTCTCTCCTTGATTAGTTTCCACCCGTTGCTTCTTGTCCTGCCTTCAGCACAAGAAGCAATGGGTGGCCCCTTCCACAGCTGTCCATGAACATATCAGCATACAAAAGCATTATTCAGCTTTATTCAGGATTTACCTAGTTGCACGATGGACCTTGCTGACCACCAGTCGAGTATGGAGGCTTGGAGGGAAGGCCAGAGACCCCCTGGATCTCCCCCAACCCTGCCCGGCCCCTACAGGCATCCCTCCCCACAAGCAACATCAAGGTGACCACGCCCACCTTGGCCACACCCACCCAGTCTGCCATGACCACCGCAGCCACGCCCACCCAGTGGGCCACGCCCACCTGGCACCCGTTGATAAATAAGTGGGTTTTGGGTTGCAGTTTGGGCACTCGGTCTCTAAAAGGTTCGCCATCACTGAGCTAGGAAATCATGCCACAAAATCATGCCTCCCTGTTTTCTGCAGCCTGGAGGCCTTGCAAAGGAGACAGGAGCAGCTGGCCAGGCCCAAGCTGGGCCAGTGGAAATTTTGTGCAACGCCCAGGCCTGAGCACCCTTTTCTTCTCACTGCTCTGAACTTCTTGGCCAGGAACTCACTCTGTGCCACAGACTACCTTCAGAAGTGAAGTTGGGGGGGGGGGAGGGACAAAATATTCTACAGGAAGTCCTTGACTTACAACAGTTCATTTAGTGACCATTCAAAGTTACTACAGTACTGAAAAAGTCTGACCATTTTTCATACAACCATTGCAGTGTCCTGGGGCCATGTGAGCCCCTTTTGCGAGTCAATGTAAAGCCAAGTAAAGCCAATGGGGAAGCCAGATTCACTTAACAAGTGTTACTAACAACTTCAGTGATTCACTTAACAGTGGCAAGAAAGGCCGTAAAATGGGGCAAAATTCACTTAACAACCATCTCACTTAGCAACAAAAATTTTGGGTTCAATGATGGTCATAAGTTGAGCATTACTTGTATTTTGTAATACTATGTTCTATAATTGAAATGAAATAACAATGAAAAAAATTGAAACCAACTCTACAACGAACCTGGCTGCAGCCATTTTCTTTGATCTAAGTTGCCATAAGATTGGGAGGGGGATGGAGGATTTCTACTAGTCTAAACTTTTTACTGTCCTGTAGGAACCAAGGCCATTTCTGTCAATTAGACAGGGGCTGGAGCATTTAGTTAGAAAGCCTGCTAAAGGAACGTAGCAAATTGCATGGCACTGGAGTAGGAAGTTTAACTTTGTAATATTAGAATAGAATAGAGCTGGAAGGGACCTTGGAGGTCTTCTAGTCCAGCCCCCTGCTCAAGCAGGAGAGCCTATACCATCTCAGACAGGTGAATGTCCAGTCTCTTCTTAAAAGTCTCCAGTGATGGAGCATCCACGATTTCTGGTGGCAAGCTGTTCCACTGGTTGATTGTCCTCACTGTCAGGAAGTTTCTCCTTAATTCCAGGTTACTTCTCTCCTTGATCAGTTTCCAACCATTGTTTCTCATCCTTCCCCCTCTGGTGCTTTGGTGAACAACCTGGTCCCCTCTGCCTTGTGGTAGCCCCTCAGATACTGGAAAACTGCTATCATGTCTCCCCTATTTCTTCTTTTCTTTAGACTACCCAAACCCAAGTCCCGTAGCCGTTCTCCGTATGCATATTGTTGCTCTCTGAAGGAAACTTCAGACTGGGTTTCACTTTTGACCATGCCAATACTATATAACCAATAAACATGTTCTCCAAGGAAATCTCAAGCCTTGGAGTTCTGATTTGTTTGGTCTTGTCTGTCAGAACCTTGACAAGGTGGGTGAATACAACATTACTCAGACTAATTATAAACAATGGCATAGCAGCCATTGTCATCCGTTGGAATCTGTACAAAAAATATTGTTGGTTTTCCAAAATTAGGACAAACAAAAATTGAGAAAGTTGTTGAAAATGAGGTTATGGAATTTTTGCAAACAAAATGATTAGGATCTAGGACATCACATAACAAATAATGCCCTAATTGGAAGGAAAAGAGCATTTTTTGCAGATATGGCAGATTTGAAGATTTAAAAAAAAGATTGAAATGGATAGATTATGGAAAAGTCACCCCTGTAGTGATTGATACATTAGGTGGAATAACAGATTACACAAATTTTTGCAAAGAGTAAAGGTTTTTACAAACCAATAAGACCTTTCTGGCTGTAATGTCTCACAATGATATTTGGATAATTTCTAGGTTCCTGGCTGGAATCTGAATTTCCAAAGAGATTCCCTTCATCCTGTGTTAACTTTTTGATGAATAAAAAACAAGGTCAAACAGAGCGTGTCTCCTCTTGGCTGTTTAATTCTTGCTTAAACCAGAATCTAAGATATGTTGACCTTTTCATTTCACCTTTATCTGGAACCCTTCAAATCTGAACAGCCCAGAGACAGAACCCTACTTTCTTCTGTGCCTTTTTTTTTTAGGGAGGGCACATGAAAATACTTCCTAGCAGCCCCAAAGTTGTTTAAGAGATGCGATCTTTAAATAACTAAGCAAATGGAGCATTAGAAGGTTGTCCCTTTGCTCCTATCTGCAGTCTGCATGCCCTAATTCCCCATCTCTGGCTGGACTCCCCCCCCCAGGTCTAGTGGAACATCAGCCAAGCATTCTTGGTTTGTGGGAAAACCCTGAACCTGGCTCAGAGCTTCCCAACAACATATCTCAAGACTTCGCCCTTCTGACCTTATACCTTGATGCCATCAAGTCCAATTAACTTTGAAGTCAAGCTGATACCACCATTTTGCTTGAGAGAGCAGCCTGACTCACTGGATTTCAAAAACAGAGGCCTACTTTCTCTCTCCCATTCCCCCCCCCCCCTTTCATTCTCAAATTTCACTGGCAGGAAAACCAGACTTGCCAGGGCACAAACTCTAAACTGCTGTTGTTTTGCTAAAGATTAACTTGAGTTGCAACTCTAGTTTTCAAAGGAGAAAAGAGAAAAAAGGAGGAGGGAAGAAATAACGCCCTCTTCTCCCCCAGGCAAAACTTTGGACCAAAAATTTTGTTTGGACCAAAAACAAAAACAAAAAAACCCCAAAGTGAGTTTAGGCTACTTTAACCATTCAAAAGCATGCTTGTGAGAATGCTTAAGATTAACAGCCACAGGGAAAAAGTGCCTGTGTGAATTGTTCTTCTGCAATTCGTCTCCTTGTATTATCAAATTGGCTGATGAGTTGATAAACCATGTTCTCCTGAACCTTGAGGTTTGAACCTCAGGTCTACTAAAGTACTTGTGTCCAAACATATCGTGCCACCTGCCACACAGTTCCTTAAAAACTAAGTTGGGAGGAGCATGAGGGCTTGGCCTGAAAACAGCAGCCCTAAATTAATCATCATCAAACCAAGGAATAAGATATGAGGAGTTTTTGAACTGAGAAGGTTTAGGGAAACATGGGCAGGTTCAGAGGAGCCACTCAGTAAAGCCAGGGCAAAAGATGAACTTACTTGGAAGGCCCTGAGAAGGGACAGGAACCTATATCCTTAAATGAGATTGCTGCCCCTTTGACAAGGTTGAGGCTCTTGCAAGTAACTCTTCCAGCTCATCTTCCAGATTTATATTCGATTCTGGCAGTCACCCATCTACTGATACCAGATCGAATGATCTTAGAGGTATTTCCTGGATGTTGTGATTCTGAGCATTTGGACATTTGGGTGGCAATATATATATTTGCATTTAAAAACAAAAAACTATCAGAATGCTGCTGGCACATTAATCTTATATAGATGTTTGTGGGATCTAAATGTAATAAAGTATTCATTCTTGATGATAGGAAACAAAAAAACATTTTGAGGTTTCCCAAACTCCCGAGACTTGGCATTCGGCCTTGATTCTGAAGGAAAGGTTCAAAAACTCAAAAGAGTTACTGAAATGCCAGATTTTATGGTGGAAGAAACAGTTCCTGCTGAAAGCCAGTCAAGAAAAACAGCATTAATTGGAGGAAAGGTGGAAAAGAAAGACTGGACATCGTGCAATTCAAGACTCATTCTCCAGAGTTATGGAAAAACTCTGTGCTTGGACTCAGCTGGATTCAAAAGAACAACAAAATGGTTCCTGATGCATCCAAATTCCACTGCCATTTTCCTCTGAAAAACAGAAATGGTTCCAAAAACATTTGACAGTGGTCAACAAAATTTAGAACATAGAAAATCAGAGTTGGAAGGGACCTTGGAGGTCTTCTAGTCCAACCCCTTGCTCAAGCAGGAGACCCTATTCCATTTCAGACAAGTGGCTGTCCAGTCTCTTTTTAAAAGCCTCCAGTGATGGAGTGTCCACAACTTCTGAAGGCAAAAGCCATTCCACTGGTTGATT